ACCATTGTCAGATCTGGAGTACATTGCCACTCACGCTCCAATCGCAGTTGCGATCTGCAGTTTGCCACCGTGTTTGGCACTATAGGTCAGCTGATTGGGACAGAATGCGGTCTTTCTTTGCATCCTACCCTTGGGGGCGGGTTTGCTTCTCGCCAGAAGATCCCAGCATTGTTGCCGACTCTGTTGCCGATATGGTACTTCAGGGTATGGAACTTTTTATTCCATCTTCTGTGGTGCCCATCGGAAGCAGATCCCAGCTATGGTTTGGTCGCTCCTGTAAAATAGCATCACGCTATAAGCCCCAAGTCTGAAACTTTGTTCAACAAAGTCTCGACTTTGCGACGTTTTCCCGAGAAATATTGGCACGGCCGGTGTATAAAGCATCACCATTGCTGTCGTTTGCATAGCAATGAATGTAACCGGTTTGCAACATATCATTGATATACAGAAGAAACAACATTGGTGACAGCTTTCTTACCATCCGTCAAGTGTCATTTCCCTCTACAAGATGCAGGAGTGTACAAGCTGGATTGTGAATGTGGTCTCTCTTACATAGGACAAACAAAAAGATCTATAAAACCCGCGTTAAACAACATATAGCTGACGTGAAGCACCGACGTATCGGGAAGTCTGCAAATGTTCAACACCGTCCCCGCCATTACATTCGATTTGATATACCCCAAATCCTCGCAAAAGAACAAAGATTCCTACCAAGGATGATTGGCGAGGCTATTGAAATTAAAAAACATCCTAATTTCAATAGAGAAGATGGATGGGTACTGCTATCTGCTTGGGATCCTATAATTAATAAAATTAAATCCAAACCCAAGTATACCACTGCTAGACTTCAAGATACTGTAAGATCATTCTGCGTAAATCGAACCAAAAATAAATATTAAAAAACTGAAAGTAGCCGGGCTAACTATGACATCGGGACGTCAAACACCTCAGTCCACCCCCCTCCCCGTGACCATAGGTGCTGTAAAGCACCCTAAACGTCGGGAATTAAAAAAGTTAAAATTAAACACGATATAATCCGTAAAAATTACTTTCATTTAATATACCTCAGATGCTTTTTTGTACATATGTATTTTTTTTACATGAACACTTGCTTCAAATATGTACGTGCTTGGTAGAGTTAGCATGTTAAGATCCTTAAATAAGGGCTTACAAGAATCATACCATTTGGCCCCAGTTATGACTCTCACACACTCTATTTGAATAAGAGCTATTACCTCAAATTAACAATCTGGTTTTTTTTAATAGTATAAGTGCAACAAACGAGCACACAGTCCACCTGATAGTAAGTTGGTGCTGTGGCCCATAGACACCTACATTTATATCCTCGATCACGAATAAAAATGCAGATGCGTTGTCACCCGTGAGGACTAAGATGGAATGCCTCGTTTCCAGTAAAAAGGGTCTCCGGTTGTCTACACTCACCATACGAAACACAACAGCGTTAAACTGCTATTTGACACTGGTATTCTGCGAGAGCGTGGTCCTTCCCCGGTCGTGTCGACGCATTCGTGCTACAACTATACCATTAAAATAGCTGCAGCAAGGCTCTACCATGTCGAGAATAAATATGTTAGTATTGTTGCAACATACCCATATTATGCAATGAGTGCCATTTAGCGTGACCATGTTCTTCTTAACCTATTCAAAACATATAAAAATCTATTAATTTTATTATAAATTTCGTCAATATGAGCCATAAAATTACAATTACTATCTAGTTTTAATCCCAGAAATTTCTTCTGTTCGTTTTCTTACACGTTGTCATTATTATACCTAATGTCAAGGTCTAGTTTCTTTCTACTATTACTATAAAATTGAACATAACAGGTTTTGGTGATATTGGCTTTTAAATTATCATCATGTAATCATGAAATAACATCATTTATTGCGCATTTTATGTCATTAGGATTCCGTACCTCAAAAGGAAAAAACGGAATCCTTATAGGATCACTTTGTTGTCCGTCTGTCTGTCTGTTAAGACCCTTTTTCTCAGGAACGCGTGGAGGTATGAAGCTGAAATTAGTACTAAATACTCAAGTCTACTGTTCCTTGGAGCTGTGAAAAAATCAAACTTCTAAGCCAATGCAATCAAAAGATACAGCCGCTTATGCCGCAAATTTTCGACATTCGCAAGGGAATCAAAACCTACAGGGTACTTCCCGTGAACTCAGAATCTTAAAATTTGGTACGAAGCAATGTATTATAACACAGATAAAGGAAAAATTGTGAAACGCATAAATTTTTAGTTACATCATATAATAAAAATATTTTTAATAATTTTAAACTTATATACCCACGGATTTGTTCGCAACCCTCGGTGCGCGAGTCTTACTCGCACTTGGATCGTTTTTTTTTTCGTAATAATGTTTATTTCCATGACTATTTTTTATGATCAAAGATATAGCCTGGGAGAATTCACAAGATGCCTTAGGTATTTTCTGTGACCTTTCCAAGGCTTTCGATTGTGGTCATCATGATACATTAATCAGGAAACTACAACATTAGGGTGTAAAAAATTTGGCGCTTAAACTTATTACTTCATATTTAAGTAACAGAACTCAAAAAGTCGTCATTAATGGTAAATGTTCCTCCGGATCGGTAGAATCAATGGGCGTTCCTCAGGGCTCGATTCTTGGCCCATTCCTGTTATTAATCTATATTAATGACTTACCTTATCTTGTAGGGACAATCACGATATAGTATTATTTGCTGACGATACCTCTTTAATTTTCAAACTGAAACGGCAGTCAATTAAATATTACGATGTAAATAATGCTCTATCGAAACTAGTACATTGGTTTAACGCCAACAATTTGCTCTTAAACGGCAATAAGACAAAATGTATTAAATTTACAATACCTAATGTAAAACATTCGAAAACCAATGTGCTCTTAAATGGGGAGGAGTTAAGTATTGTGGATACCACTGTTTTTCTCGGTATTACTATTGACGCGAAACTTCAATGGGGCCCCCATATATCTAAATTAGCAAGCAGACTTAGTTCTGCAGCATATGCTGTAAGAAAAATTAGAAGTCTCATAGATGTTGAGACAGCTAGGTTAGTGTATTTTAGTTACTTTCATAGCATAATGTCTTATGGAATTTTGCTATGGGGTAATGCGACTGATATTGAAGCTATATTTGTTTTGCAAAAGAGTACGGGCGATTTATAATCTAAATTGTAAAGAGTCCCTGAGAGAAAAATTTAAAGAAATAAACATATTAACTTTGGCATCGCAATATATTTATGAAAATGTAATGTATGTACATAAAAACATAAATAGCTTTAATAAGAATAAGGATGTTCATACCTTAAACACTAGGAACAAACATAAGCTTGTAATGCCACTTACTAGACTCCACAGAATTAGTAATTCATTTATGGGGCAATGTAGACGCTTTTACAACAGAATCCCAGAACATGTTCAAAGTTTGTCAATAAACAAGTTTAAAAGTTTTATTAAAGAAAAACTGTAAAAAAGGGTTATTATAATATAAAGGAATACATGAATGAAAATAACCCCTGGGAATAAGGTGATCGCCACCATGCTGGTTCTATGAAAATTCATTTAAAATTGTATACACAAAATTATTGTTAAGTGAAATTATGTTTAAAAAAAAGTCCCGCTGGGTTTCTTGCTGGTTCTTCCCAGGACAGAGGTATTTTCCGAACCAGTGGTAAATAAAATAATGACTTTCAATAAGTATTATGTAATAATCCATATTGAATAAAAATCATTCTATTCTATTCTATTCTATTCTATTCTATTCTATTCTATATGTTATCCGCAAGCAAAATGCATGGGAATGGAGTTGAATCCGGTAAATCATTTACATAAATTACAAACAAAAAAGGCCCAAGGACGCTTCCCTGAGGAACTCCAGCGTACTTAAGAACTATTGGCGATCTAAATTAAAAAAAAATACTTTTGTAAGGGCTTATAACTTCCTTATACTATTTTCTTGATGATAAGTATGATTTTATCCACTGCAATATCAGTCCTCTTATCCCATACCTTTTTAGCTTACGTAATAAGGTGTTATGGCAAACAAAGTCAAATGCTTTTGATTTTTTAAAAGATAAACTTGTTACATTTACCTTTTTATCTATTGCAAGTATGTTAGTAAAGATACCAACAGTCGCCTGTAATATTTAAACAAACCATTCAAGTTTAACCTTCTGCACTTCTCGAAAGAAAACATCGTGAGGAAAGCTGCATGTCTGAGACATTGAAAGAATATGTCGGAGAGATGTGAAGTCTGCTAACACGTATTGGAGCCCATAGACATCTACATCTATCCTCGTTTGCAAATCGTTGACTAAGATGGAATGCCTCTTTTCCAGTAAATGGGTCTCCGGTTCTCTACACTCACCATACGAAACACAGCAGTATTAAGCTGCTATTCTACGCTGGTATTCTGTGAGAGCGTGGTTCTTCCCCGGTCGAGCCGACCCATTCGTGCTACGACTATACTATTAATATAGCTGCAGCGTGGCTCTACCACATGTAAGAACAGTTTGGCTGCATGTGTCCATGGACTGCAGTAGTTACTTACCATGAAGTAAACTGAACGTTCGTTTGTCACCCGATTTTCAATGTAATAACACGTTTACCAAAAATAGTCCGTGATCAAAATGCTAATAGCGCTAGTCTGAATGTTCTCTAGTGATTAAACAGCTGCTTTAAATATTATACGTTCATTGTTTTCTTTAATCAAGAACTAACCTTGACATAACAAAAGATTACTTTGGCTTTTAAAAATCTATTCCCATAATGCAAATCAAATCGCATACTTCCGATATTATTATTTGGATCTTGTTAAAATAACAATCATAGTACCATACTCGCATTATTAGCATAGCGTTATGGTACGCGATGATACAAAAGGAACTTAATTATCATCACTAGTCCACAAATTTGATTTTACAAGGAGCGTGGCAATGAGGTGCAATGTAAGCCGGCTGCGCGTGCGTTGCCTTCAGTCTAATGTAACGAACACTTCGTATCGGCTGACTGTTACACTCGCGTGTCCTGTAACACTGTATTTGCCGCGTTTACTTTACTGAAATTTACAAAAAAAATACAAAGAAAAATTTCATGTATCCTAGATTGTTTCTAGTCAATATTTATAAATTAGAAATAAGTGCCGCTTTCACATAACTTTCTATTAATGGTCGAACAAGGGAATAAAAAAATTCCTGGCATCATGAGAAAGTGCTTCAAAATGAGTCTTTTTAAAAGTAAGTATTTAAATTCTATATTACTCACATACTATTATTGTTTTTAAGGTCTTAAATTTCTTAAATTTTCTTTAATAGTAATTATTTAATTTAAGGTCATCCTTACTTACTAAGGAATAAATAACGACTTTTAAAGTAAAACGGTTCATTTTACAAACATTATAAATAAAAATACAAATTTCTATATTCGAACGTTTGTAAATCCATCAATCACGCTTGAACTTTGATCGTGGAATTGGACATAGGATACTTTTTATTATCCTTTCCCGCTGGGGGGTGTAAACTCCAGCGAAAACCAAATTAAAAAAATGCGCTCAGCTATGAGTTGTAATAGTTTTCACTTTTCAATTTCCCATTCTATGTGAAAGCTGTGCACAAACACTTGTAAAAGATAATCATAATTATTTTTTTGATAAGCTCAGAGGTTCAAAACTTACTGACTGTTAACTTATTGGTAAAAAAAAAATAACTAAGCATGATGAAGGAATCTTTCGGGAACAATATATATATAGTCTGCTCATTAGAATATTGTTAAAACTTATAATTTTAAATACCTATTTAAAATTCTTTTATTTTTATTCATATGTAGTCACATTGTTAAGATAATGTGACTACTAATCTGCCAATTGTTTTGTTACAATTTATGTTTTAAAATGCAATTGTCTTTGAAAAATATTAACACATGGTGGAATTTTTTTTGCTCATAAAATTATTACTATACAAACTTGAAATATTAGCTTTTTAGTAGTTATTATACGTGTACGTAGTCAGTCATCACTTTTATCACCCTAATTGCTACTTTGCAGGAAGGATCACATTATGCTAACAACTTAAAAATAATATTTAAATCATTTCCTATTTATGAAGTAAGGCTTTGGATCGGTCGCTGCTACGTTTTTAAAGTCACTTTACGGCGGATCCACTCGTAAGCCCTGTGGAACTTTTCTTGCCAGCATTGGATAGGAAAAACTGTTTAAAATATATTGCAAAGGTTCTGTTATCATTTAAATGAAGATTTTTGTTATCGACTTGAATAATTATCAACACGATAGCAATCATTTTTATAAATAAGTATTTTCCAAGTAAATCAGATTTAGCGTGAGGTAGGTCGATTAATTGTCACGACCCTGATGTTTGATACCTCGCATCTGCTCCTTTTCATTAGCTAAGTTATTAACACCAGAGTATTTGGAAGTAATTATACCAAAAGGATTCAACCCACGCTCAGGTCGAAACGAGTTATTTAATATATGCCGAAGTAATGCTAAGCATTTCTATTTTTAGAAAACCTGTAAAAGAAATCATAAAAGCAAGATGTAGGTAAACACCTAGCATTGGATAAAGTGTTTAAAAATATAAAGTAGCTTTTTGTTGGTGGAATACCATTTTTGGAAGGATTTTACCTTCAAAATTTCATTTGATATTTGCAATACTGTTATCCAGTCGTATAGTGGTGCCGCGGCGTAAGATTACCCACTACACCATATCCATGTGTGTGACGTAAGAGGCGATAGTATGAAATAAAACAGGATATGGGCAGCAGCATATTCCTACTAACAAATCAATATAATAAAAAAAAATGTGTGAGTGTTGTGGAACACTCGGTCGGAACGAAGTTCCTTTCGTAATATATTATTATTGATAAACGTATTATATTATTGATTAACAAATACAAATAAATGAATTACTAGCGTCTATTAAAATGAAGCGTCATTTAAAATAATATTTATTTCGCGGCAAGATAAGAAAAAGTGCGAGGGAGATGCATATTATTCCATCTCGCTTTCTTATAGCCGCCAAGGCCGTCTGCACTACGTCAGAAGGGGTCGTGACGGAAAAATCTTACAATTTTTGTCGCCTAGCCGCCATCCGCTAAGTCCGTACCGTCCGATAAAGAACTTCGCTCCAAAAACTGTGGTTGCCAACCCACCCACCAAGCGTGGCAACTATGCGGAATATACTCTTTAAAAGGCAATTTAAACTGCCTGAACACATTCTGCAGTGGACTTTTGAAAGGCTGTAATTAAATGAACGTTCTTTTATCTGTTGTAGCAACGTTCTGTATTAAAATGTAAACAGTACACATGAATATGAAATCGTCACGCTTTATCACTTTTGTACGCTCAATGAATAATCATTTTACTTTTTGTGTAGGAATATTTACAAGTTTAAAATATCAAAACAACGTTTGTAGCAATGTATGTCACATTCATCTATGTATATGTTCTGGTTCTATATTCCATAAATTATATGGTTTCTTTTTAGGGTTCCGTACCCGAAGGATAACCAACAAGACCCTATTACTAAGCCTCCGCTGTCCGTCCGTCCGTCTCTCCGTCCGTCTGTCTATCTATCAGCGGGCTGTATCTCATGATTCATAATAGGTAGACAGTTGAAATTTTCACAGAATGTGTATTTCTGTTGCCGCTATAACAACACATAATAAAATAAAAATAAATTAAAAATTAAAAGCGACTCCTCTTCTAAAACATGTTTTTTTTTTTTTGGATTTTTTTGTTCGATCTTCATAATCGCAACAAGTATGCGCTTGAAATGCTCACAGAGTTTGTATTGCTATATTCGCTGAAAAACATAATAAAATAAAATTATATTTAAAAAGTACCTACATAATATTAAATCTTGTACGGTGGTACGGAACCCTTCATGCGTGAGTCCGACTTGCTATTGGCCAGTTTTTATAAACATGTAAGTAAAAAGGATAAAATTACTGCCCATATATATCCCATAGCTGGCTAACCTCCTCTCAATTTTGGGAGGATTTCAGGGCAAAGAAGTGTCCGCCGCGAATGTTGTTGACCTATTAATTTTTAGATATAATATAATGTCCGTAAAATGATAATGTATATTTATTTATGTATTTATAAAATCTTCTTATCCACAAAATTGTGTATACAAACGCTTTCAATGCATGATGCTTACTCTACCAGTATATCAAACACTAAATAAATTAAAAAATAATCTAATTAGTTTACTGTTCATATATATTTTTTAAGCTTTACACACAGTTTACATACATACATTTCACGAGGACAAACATCCAGATCTGAAACAATTATTTGTAGCCCATACAATTACTTGTTCCGTGCGGGATTCGAACCCGTGGCTCTTAGAGCTGCAACTCGTTGCTAAGCCACTGCGTCACAGAACCTACAAAATCAATATATTAGAACACTCTTGGACAATGATTTGCTTTACTGAAACACCCAAAAGCGGTTTATATTTAGAAAAATTCTATACTGCATTACCCGTGCATTCTGGTCTCTCGCCAAGGCTGTCCAAGGGAATTTCTGTAAGCCATCACTACCATCTCTGCACAGGGAGGACGACTCACTGGCCCAAGACGCAAAAGACAAAGCCGACCTTTTAGGCTCCCTTTTTGCGTCCAACTCGACTCTTGATGACGGGGGGAAAATACCGCCGACCATCCCGCGGTGTGAGTGCTCCATGCCGGATGTGCTATTCTCACAGCGCTCAGTTCGCAAAGCACTTCTCTCCCTGGACATCCAGAAGTCGAGTGGGCCTGACGGAATCCCCCCAATTGTGCTGAGGACGTGTGCTCCGGAGTTGGCACCGGTCCTAACGCGTCTTTTCCGGTACTCCTACTCCCAAGGCGTAGTCCCGAATTCATGGAAGACAGCTTTTGTCCACCCGATCCCTAAAAAAGGCGACCGCTCAGACCCGTCCAACTATAGGCCTATCGCGATCACCTCCTTGTTCTCCAAAATAATGGAATCCATTATTAACTGCCAGCTCATCCGGTACCTTGAGGATCACCAGCTGATTAGTGACCGCCAATACGGTTTTCGTCGGTGTCGATCAGCTGGTGATCTTCTGGTCTACCTGACCCATAGATGGGCGGAGGCAGTAGAGTCCAAGGGGGAGGCGTTGGCCGTTAGTCTGGACATTGCGAAGGCCTTTGATCGGGTTTGGCACAAAGCGCTTCTTTCAAAGCTGCCTTCCTATGGGCTTCCCGAGAAATTGTGCAATTGGATCACCAGCTTTCTTGCAGATCGGAGCATCAAGGTCGTTGTAGACGGTGCATGTTCTGACTACAAGCCTATTAACGCTGGTGTTCCACAAGGCTGTGTGCTATCACCAACGCTGTTTCTTCTGCATATCAATGATATGTTGCTAACTGGTAACATTCATTGCTATGCGGATGACAGCACTGGTGATGCTCTATACACCGGCCGGGCCAATATTTCTCGGGAAAACGTCGCCGAGTACCGGAACAAACTTGTGTCTGAAGTCGAGTCTTTGCTGGACAAAGTCTCGGATTGGGGGCGACTAAATCTAGTCCAGTTTAATCCTCAGAAGACACAAGTTTGCGCGTTTACCGCTAAAAAGAACCCCTTTGTCGTATCTCCTCAGTTTCAAGGCAATCCCCTTCTTGCCTCAGCCAGTATCGGTATCCTCGGAGTCGACATATCGAGTGACGTGCAGTTTCGTGGTCACTTGGAAGAGAAGGCCAAATTGGCCTCTAAAAAGCTTGGCGTGCTCAGCAGAGCGGGACAGTATTTCATGCCGGCACACCGCCTGCAACTTTACAAGGCGCAGGTTCGGCCTCACATGGAATACTGTTCCCATCTCTGGGCAGGGGCTCCCCAGTGCCAGCTCCTTCCACTTGACCGCATCCAGCGCAGAGCGGCTCGAATCGTCGACGACCGAGCCCTTTCCGATCGGCTCGATTCATTGGCACTGCGAAGAGATGTTGCATCTCTTTGCATTTTCTTTCGCATCTACCATGGGGAGTGCTCTGAGGAATTGTTCGGATTAATCCCAGCCGCCAAATTTCACGAACGCACATCGCGGCAGAACTCCCGATACCATCCACACCATCTGGATGATTGGCGGTCCACCACTGTGCGATTTAGAAGATGTTTTCTTCCTCGCACAACTTCCTTGTGGAATAGTTTACCACCAGGGATTTTTCCGGACCGATACGACTTAGGGACCTTCAAGAAAAGAGCCTACTCCTT